CCGTGTGGCGTCCTCTTAATAATCTATACAATATAACATAAAATATATTATGTTGGCAAGCTGACTATCGACATTTGAACAACAATAATTAATACATTTAAATAAAATTTAAATCTATCTCCATTACGACTCGTATAAAAGTCGGCCTTCGAACGAAGGGTGGCGTACTCTGGTGTTAAATTCTGAACTACCAAACTGCCGTGATTTTTTGCGCCAATATTGTACCATTGAAAGATACGGGAGCGGTGTCACCTTATCTTCTCTACATCGTGTTAACCGGCCAAATTTGGCCAATTAAACTGTGATTACCTTTAATCATAGTAATTAGACACGGTGCAACTGGCGCTTACCAGTACCCTAAAAACCGCGGGTGTGCAAAGTGTGCACCGCACACAGGCCTCGGGCCTCATAATATATCGAAGGGCCTCAAAAGATCTAAAGACTAATATTACCTAAACTAATATAAAATTATTAAAATATATAAATTATTTATTATTGATTTGGAAACGAAATCAATGTTATTTCATTTTTTATTATACAGCATGGAGTCGTGATCACTGATTTTGGATTTGAGAGGAACGAACAAATGTAGTGATTTTACAAGATGTGTATAATTTTTTTCATTTCTGTCGGTCATCAACATTGGGTTGTAAAAATATTCCGAATTTCGAGATCAGCATTTTTTCTGTTAGAAAAGTGAATCTAGTTGGAACTTTTTGGAGATCGAAACCGAAATTTTTAGTTTTAGATATTAAAAAGCGTCAATAGAAAAAAAAATTGTCATTTTTACCTAAAACAAAAATTTTATTTTTTGGTATAACTTGAAAACTAATAACAGTAGACCATTGAAGTTTTCACCAAATATTTTATATTTTCAATAAATTACATTTTGGAAAATTTTTACTTTTTTGAGTTAGTTATAGCCTTGAGAAATTGTTTTAAAATTATAGATTATTTTAAATTTATAATTTTTTTTTATTTAAGCCTGAATTTTTGCCTGCTGACTTTAAAAATTGCAAAAAATGTTTTTGAGATGTGTATTGAAAAAGATAATAAGGGGCATCAATATTTTGGTTTTGCACACAGGCCTCAAGTAGCCTGCGGCCCGCGAACAAGTTTTAACCGGCCCATAGCCCGCATAGGACGCATAGGTAAATAAAGATAAAAAAAATATTTCAAAAATGTATTTATATTATATATTATATTTATATAATTATATCTATTTATTTTTGTTTAAGTATATTGTAAAGTAAAAAATATTTTATACAAAAATATAAAGTAAACATATTATTTATATAGGTACCTATTTATATACGTACCTATATTATCATAAAATAAAAAAATTAAAAAATTTCTTTTAAAAACACTTTTCTAAAAAACAAAAAAAAAATGAAAAATTTAAAAGTGTGTGGTATAATATGTCAAGTGTAAGAGCGCCACACACTTTTAAATTTTTCATTATTTTTTTGTTTTTTAGAAAAGTGTTTTTTAAAAGAAATTTTTTAATTTTTTATTTTCTACTTTTTAGTTAAAAAATTTTTTTTACGGATTATTGTATTGTCAATACTGTATAGCGTCGAACTGTCGTCTAATCTTTTTGCTCGTATGTTCATTCCTATGTACATTCCTAATTAATAATTAAATATATAATATATATTATATATATACTATTCATTGATACGTTCTTAGTAGAGTGCCTTGATGGAGATTGATCGAACTCTGTCAAGGCACTCTAGTTCTTAGTGGTTATATTATCTTTTCAAGTGCCCTACAAAATAATATGTATTGATTTTTTGGTTTTCAATGTTTGTTTTCAATCGCACTAGGCCGACGAATCGCATGCCATCGACGTTATATTTATGACTTTAATAAGATTTATAGCCGTGCTTACTGCCATTATCTGTTCAATAATCTCAGGCAGTTGGATTCAAAATATGTTTTGGGTAAGATGATTATTATGTAGGTAGGTATCTAATATGGGATATATTATATTGTATGGAGTGAATCATTTAACAATTTGACAGTAGGGGACACTCATTATTCAAAAAAGTAAAAATGTCTTAAAATATTTTTTTTTACATGGTCTCAAGTCGTTACATTGCAATGTTTTTATTCAAAAATTCAGTTTTTTACTTTTTGATTACAACACAGTTTTAATTTCATTTCGAAAGCAGAATATTTTTCTGAGTATTTCGATACATAAAAATCGAATTTAGAGTTTATGAGTTTATAGTTTTTAAAGTTTAAATGGAATAGTGGAACGTTTTGCGAGGTAACCCCGTACCACTTTGTTCCGCTCATCTTAACTTTAAATACCTATAACTCGTAAACTGCTTGTCCTAAATTCGATTCTTATGTATCGAAATTCTTAGAAAAATTATTATAATTTCAAGACCAATAAAAACAAAATAATATCAATATTAAAACATATGCATATATTTTTAAAAATAATGTTGTTTTTTTATGACTTGAAGCCATGTAAAATCTTTTCTTTTAAAAACATTTACACTTTTTGAAATCATGAGTTTTCAATGATAAAAGAAAAGCCCGGTTTATTATATATTTATATATTTAAGTAAAGTTAAACAACCATGACTTCATGTTTACCTCAGTAAAAGACAGGAAAAAAATGGTAACTTCGGTTTAAAATGTCTGTACATCCAGTTGTATAGACTTTACTGACCATTCGTGATGTTAGGTTGTTGCAGTCTAGACGATCATACACTTTTAACCGGATGAAACGCGGCCTTGACATATTATAATATAGTAAAAAGATTTTATTGATTCTGTGAATAATATCTCAATTGTCAATTACTAACTTATGTAAGCAAGGTCAACAAAAATAATTGATCATATAACTCAGATTTTTGTTTCATTGTTTTGTTCACTGGCGCAAGTTTATTACTCCCTGATTGATAGAGCTTTCTTTTTTTTTTTAAATTCACTTAAAAGGGTCAGAAAATAAGTTTTTATCTTAAACATGTTTTAGGACTGTCATAGTGTCATATCTTCTTTGATAAAAACAAATGAATCATAGTTAGGTTTTATTAATTGCGAAGGAATTTTTGATGAGTAATAGACAAAACAAATATCAAGTATTACGAAGTTGCGCATTCATTATTGTTTATGACAATTTTACACTTAAATATGTCAAATTTGCATTATGCACTCTGTAAGCATACCTACTTTAGCATATAGAGTGAGTCACTAAACATACCAATTATTTCATAGTTGTTAATTAAAACTTGTAGGTGAATTATTATTTTTATTTATTGTACATAGGTATTATGTCTCCATTTATATTATTTATATTTACATTCTACAAAACCTTTTACTTACTAGACAGATAATATTAAACTCTTGGTCTTAAATTGTTGAGAAATGTTTGGATATTTTATTTGTTTATCAATTTTTAAAACTGGTTAAATAATTTAATCAATTGGTTTGTTATTGAAATATTATCTTTTGAACATTAAATAACTGCTGCAATTTTTACTTCCATCTTGAATCACTAACTGGTAGCTTGATCCATTTGTTTTTGCTCTCATCAATTAAATTGTGCAATTACCTAGTTACTTACCACTTTCTATTTTTATTATGTGTCATTTGATATAATTTCTCAAATTTGTATCAAATTGATTTATCTTACTAGGAAATTGTATTATTTAAATTTCATAGAAAATTAGAAAATTGTTTAATAATTTCACTTATGAAAATTATTTTCAGGTATTGCTGCCATGTTTCCAGTATTTTCAAGCTTCGTTTTTAGTACCATAGTAATACATTACTTAAATGGACACTTAAAGTAAGTTTAAGTAATTTGTTAATGCTAAATATGATAACAATTATTGACTTGTGGTACCTATAAACACTATTTATTTTTTTGTTACAGAGATGTTCCTATTCCTATTAGTTTTAATTGTTAACTCAAAAAAAGCCAGTTTGTTGGCACAATTTGCACTAAGTGGCTGCTCACAGACCGAAGTAATCAATAATACATCTAAAAGCATGTCATTGCTAGGTCCATCATTTTCTTTGGACTCAATTGTATGTAGTCTTGTTCTCAGTGTCGAGATGCTGTCAGGTGTCCAACATTTAGAAGTGTATGTTTACATGCATGTCATTCATTGTGAACTATGTGGTAATCATGATTTTTATCCAGCTTCTTTATTCTTGGTATTGGATGTAAGTTATTTTTTTTAAATTTAAATATTAATATTATTGAACATTTGGTAGCTCGGGTATGCAGCAATAGTTTTTCTGACAATGTATTGTTTAATTAACAGTTACTTAGAAGAGGAGATGAAAATGGTATGCCGTTTTGGGATGAACGTTCTCAGATAACTGCGTCATGACCCAATCACACAAATCATTAAGGTGATGATGTCAGTGGGTGTAATGATTGTTCACGTACAGAGGTACAATTTCATTCATAGCTTTGACAATAGGGTCTAGGATTTGCATAAGAAACACTACCTACCTTTACTTATTCTTTAGTGATCCATATTTTACTGTTTGTGTATTCATATATATATATTATATTTATTTATTTATACAGAAAAATAGTTTTTATTTTCTTAGAATAAAAAAATTTAAATAAAAATTAGTACAATAGAATGTATTCTTATAATATTTGTATGGTTATATGTTTTCTTAGAAAGGAGAACATTCAGTTTGCCTTCATTTGTCTGTAATATTTTAAACTTGAAACTTGTTCACTACATTTTAGTCGATGAGCATTGAGTGGTATGGAAACTGAAGCAGATAATATGTTAGGAGTACAAGTTACCAAGTTTGCTGTATTTAATGAAACCGAAGAGAATTACCATCGTTCTGTTCATATCTCTATTGTGCAATAAGTATGAATGTCTGTAAATAACTTATTTATTCACATCAATTACGTTAAAAGAATGTCATTGTATGAATCTAATATTAACCTTTTTTTTTTTTTTCATAGTTGGATGTCTAGTCATATAGTTATATTGATACTTTTACTATTAATGATAGTTTGGTTTTGGTTCTTTGGAGACCGTGATGATCTAGCTCATACCCTAGCCCAGGTGAATAAAAAACAGTCAACAAACAAATCCGGTGAGTACAATTTTAAAATACGCATACTGTATAGTAAATATGAACAGACATTGTATTTAGCAGTGTTATAATTTTTTTCTACTAGTCTTGACCTTTAAAAATTGGAAATATTTTTATTGTTAATAATCATTCATTTTAAAGCATTATACTATAACAATTTATAAATATTATCAATAAATACAATTTCAATAGTATATTAATTCAAACTATTTAACAAAAATAAAAGACACCCAAAATATTTTTATTTTTTTACATACAGGTCATTCAGTACATGTCCATGAAACCCAAAAAGATTTTAAACATACACATAGCCAAACTACGTATCAAAAAGCATCAGTTTATACTTCCAACAAAATGGTTCAAACAGAAAATGTTGATGGTGACAACAATGTGGAAATCAGGCCTTTTGATGAATGTTTAGATATTTTTAAGACTCAGGTAAATATTTAATACTCCTACAATAATCTTGGTATAACCTAATTTTTTTCAGTCAGTATTTATAATTATTCTCAACTTATAAAAATATATGCATATATTGCATATGCTTAGTGAAGATAATTTTTTTACATGAAACAAGTTATTAAACACAAACATTTCCCCTGTATATCTTTTTTGCAGTACAATAGAATATAATTATTTAATATTTTAAATGTATTTAAAATGAAGTCATATCCACATAATATGTTGTCTCTGTCTTACGTATGGACATAACCAAATTTGCAATTCAGCAGTTCCAATTTTTTGATGTTCAATTTAATATTATAGTGAATTCTGTATTGTCTTGTTGGTTTTTTGTAATGTTTTAATTTTAAAGTAAGTTATGAGTATTTTTAAATTTTAATATTTTATACACTCATTACATAATTAAACATTAAAATATCGTAAAAACCAACAAGAGGATACAAATAATGTTCTTATCTGAACGTTTTATAATAAGTCAACTTATCTAATATTTAATTCAACCCAAAATTTAAACTACTAAACATAAGTTTTGATATGTTATAAGTTAGTAAGATGGATACAAGTATACAACACATGCGTGTATTATGTATACAATTTTTAAGAAAAAAAATTGTTTTAAGGAAGGAATTTCGTGAATCCTCTTAAATTAAATACCATTCATATGCATCAAAAGCGTTTGTTTTAATATTACAAATAATGTCTCTTTAATCAAATCATTAATTTTATAATTACAATTAATATTTAAATTACTAATAAATATTTAGATTTATTTTTATTTTTATTTATATAAGATTTTGTTAAATCTATAATTATTATATATATTTATTGGGCTTATTTATGTAATTATGTTAACATTTTAAAAATTAAGTTATTAATTTCCAAGGCTGGCATTAACGAGTTAAAAAGTTAATTTTATTTTAACTCTTTAACTTAACTGGTTACTTTTGGATTTTCATTAACTTAACTGTTAACTTACTATATTTCTTTTTTAATTAATGTGAAATTAACGAGTTAATTTTTCATTTTAAGCAGTAAGTTAAGTTAATTTATTTTGTTTTTAATTTAATTATGTTTCACTATTTCAGTCTATTTTGTTTTCATTTCAAAAAATATGTATCATAAATTGTTTAAAGTTAAAAATTTATATCATTTGAATTTAACTTATATAGAAATACTGTATAAAGTCTATAATTTAGTTTTTGGTTGGAAAAAAATGAAGTGCTCCAGCTTTGTAAAAACAAATTAACTTTTTTTTAACTTAAAAAGTTAACAAAAAGTGTGTATTAACTTAACACTTAACTGAGTTAAAAAAAATCATTAACTTGCCCAGCCTTGTTAATTTCTATTAACTACAATCATATAGTTATGGGGATTTTTATATTTAGTTAGTGTGTGTATGTGAATGATGTTAAGTTGTATTATTTAGTCATACAATAGCAATATTATTATATATTATAGTTCATCGAATTTAAAGTAAAAAAGCTCAATATTTTTAATTAATTCAAGCATATATTGTGTAATAAGTAATTGCTAATTACACTAATTATTTTTATGGTATAAACTATTAAAAATAATTATTAATATTGATTGTGTTATCCTTAGTGTGTTGTTTTACTATTTTAGCCAACTCATATTATTTTATTAACTCTATTAAAAATATTTATGTTACAAGTACATAACTTTCTTATGTACTTCCAAACTTTTATTACATAAAAAATACATAGTGGAACATAATAAGGAATTAAACATGTACCATCCATAAACTGTTATCTTTGCCGTGCATACTTTATAATGGGTTATGATAAATATACATATTTATTATTTAGAAATCGGCTGAACAATTAAATGATAATGAAGTATTAATGTTAGTGAAATCAAACCATATAAAACCGTACATGTTTGAAAAATGTGTCAATAACCCAGAGAGGGGTGTTGGTCTTAGAAGAAAAATAATTGCAGCAGAAAGCAATCTGACGGAAGCCTTAATAGAATTACCTTACATTGGTTATGATTATTCTAAAGTAAGGAACAACTGATCAATTATATAGTAGAGTCTAGGGAATTATATTCTGTATGACTGTATTATTGAAATTTCTTCTAGGTACTAGGAACCAATTGCGAGAACGTTAAGGATATGTAGCTGTGCCTGTTGGAGTAGCTGGACCATTACTTGTGGATGATGCGTTTTATCAAGTACCCATGGCAACCACTGAAGGTTGCTTAGTGGCCAGTATAAACAGGAAGTAGAGCACTGACAATATGCGGTGGCGTAATAACTAGAGTTGTGGATGATGGTATGACTAGAGGACCTGTTGTTCGATTTTCTTCAGTTACTACTGCTAGGTATGTATGTAATTTTCCATTCAGCTATTGAGAATATTGATAAGTAAATATTTTTTTTACAACATATTTGCAAAGCAAAAATGTGGATGGACAATCCAGAAAAGTTCAAAATAATTAAGGCGGCATTTGATTCAACTAGCAGATTTGCAAGACTCACAAAATTACTTGTACGTATTGCTGGTCGAATGGTCGATATCTGTTTATTCGGTTTACAGATTCTACGGGTGATGCAATGGGCATGAATATATTATCCAAAGTAAAAAAAAAACACTATTTAATATTTTGTTAAATAATGTCACATTGACCCTTAAATTAAATTTAAATAATACTTATTTTAATGTTTTTAATAGGGAACAGAAAAATCATTCAAAGTCATCGGAGGATACTTCCCCGACATGGAAGTTTTAAATTTGAGTGGTAATTTTTGTTCAGACAAAAAGCCAGCCGCAGTCAATTGGTATGAAATTTTTAAAAATTGTATGCATTTTTCCATTATATTATTTACATTTTTTTCTTATATAGGATTGAAGGCCGTGGAAAATATGTTGTTAGTGAAGCAATTGTACCTTCAAAAATTGTCACTGAGGTACTGAAAACTACTGTAGCAGCATTGGTTGATGTTAACATAAGCAAAAACTTGATGGGATCAGCTATTGCTGGTAGTATTGGAGGAAATAATGCACATGCAGCCAATATTGTTACAGCTGTATACATTGCTACAGGACAAGTAAATAAATAACTATTTTTTTCAACATAATATTACTAGCTGATCCCGCTCACTTTGTTGCCCGTAAAAAATTGTGATTGTTCAACTCCTTTTGGGTGTAACTCGTTGTAGTAAGTGCCACTCAGACATTATCATTTTAACAATGTGCAACAGCATATCAAGTAAGCAACGACACGCTGATGAGCGGCTTTAATTGCAACTCAGCCACCTTTGTAGGCAATGTGTGAAAATTTGATTTGAAGCATGCTTGTACCTGATCTGCCTGATAACCAATAGCAACCGTAAATAAACAAATATGTCCATCGTAAATCTCAAACTTCCTGCTTGAGCACCTCCGAGGGTTGGACCTAACCTTCCTCTTGAATCATCTATCAATTAAAAACAACCTCATAAAAATCCGTTGTGTAGTTTTACAGATCTAAGCATACAGACAGACAGCGGGACTTGGTTTTATACTATGTTAAGATAACATTTTAATATTTTAGCCATATATTTAGTTATTTACCCTCAATATTTTAGGATCCAGAGCAGAATGTGGCGAGCAGCAATTGCATGACACTGATGGAAGCATTTGGTGAAGACCTGTATGTATCATGTACAATGCCTTCGGTTGAGATTGGTACAGTAGGCGGAGGAACTTCATTACCTGGTCAATCTGCGTGTTCGGAAATGCTTGGCGTACGAGGTGCAAACTCTCGAACCCCTGGGGCCAACGCTAAACGATTAGCACGTATACTGTGTGCAACAGTTTTAGCCGGCGACCTGTCGCTGATGTCGGCCCTGACTGCTGGTCATTTAGTAAAAAGTCACATGATTCACAATCGGTAAGTGTTTTGTTTCTATTTGTTTGATTATCTATAGCTTTTTTAATTATTCTCATTTTTAAAATACAATATCATATGGAATTTTTGGAAAAACAAGACAACATTGTTTGCCCAAATGAGTGTAGTGATATTTAGCACTATTTGGATACAATTTTATAAATTAACTTTTGTTACCTTGCTTATTGCACAAAATGGGAACCACAATTTAAGAACTAAAACCAACTATTTTTTTTCACAGGTCCGCTCCTTCCATTCAGAATTTAGAATCAGAACCATCCGAATCAAACAGACTATTTACACACTGTGTGTCTTGAGTGACGTGAAATTAATTAATTTTTCTTCATACTTCTTACTTATTCTATTTTGTTAGAATCTATGTTGTATATAAACAAATGGCATTTTATTGAACAGTCAATATTTTCTGTGAGATGATGTTTTTTTTCTCAGTATTTTGTCAACAACACAAAGAAATCAAAATATTGTGAAATGGATAAATGAAATATATATAAAAAAAAAAAACAGTTTATTTTTATTGTCATTTTAAGTTCAGATTTGGATGAAATTACATAATAAAAAACCTAGAATAACTATTTTAGTTATTTTGTTGTGATTGTATAATATCATTCGTGGGTACTTGAAAGTTCTAAAGTACACTATTATATATCTATATAGTATCATGGTTTGCCGTTGATGTATAACGCGTTATAAGTACCCAATGGATATTGTGATATGATTAATTTGGAATTTCTTATACCTACCTATTATAGGTAAATTTTTTTAATACTATAGATGAGTATATAATATGTCTTATACCCACGATTTAAGATAGTATGGTTGCCCAACGAGGTATGATAAGATGGCATTGGATTTAAATCGGACCGCCAGTGCTAGCGCTTCTAGTGGACTATTTTGTAATTTATAATATAATATGATCATTATATATATTTTTATTGCATATAGGTGTAACATAACAATTTTTATTAGTCTTAATTTGCACCAATATGAGCTCTGCATGCGGGGGACCCCATAGATCACGTGACTTTTCGATTCAAACCGTATGCCGTGCGATAACATTTTTCTAATGGGTCGATGGGCAACCATACTATCTTAAATCGTGCTTATACCTAGACTGACCGCTCAGAATCGTTTTTCTTATACAATGATATTATATCATTGAATTCAAGTTTAACACAATCCATTACACAATGCCCCACTTGTAACCTACTGTACAGCAGTGCGACATCCACTTACCCTCTTTTTTTTAAACATTTATTTGAATATATACATTATAAAATCTGTAATAATATTTACAATGAGCATATGGGATGGAATACAATTGACTTTGACACCGTGAGGGGAGTAGCTACCCAGCAGTAACACTTGACGAAAAATATATAACATATTCCATAATATACAATTTATGTACAAATATGTACAAACATGTAGCAATTCAAATTCTTTGTTCAAACTTCCTATTTATAAAATTATAATCATTTTAATATTAACATACAATTGAAAATTAAAAATTATTTTGTTAAATGGTGTAAAAGTCAAATGATTTTGTTCGATCTAGATATTATGTGTTATTAAATAGTTTTATGGACATATTAAAGTATATGTTCCCCTTAAAAATTATTATTAGTTATATGTATTATTAAATTGTATACGGGTTTTTATCTTTTGTTCCACAATTTTTACAATTGTCGATTTATATATTATACATTAGTCAATTAGTGTAACCATTAGAGTTTAGAACTATGCGTCTATGCAACAAATGTCACAATTGTTGAAGAAAAACTAAATGGAAAATGTCACAAAAACTCAGAAACTTGAACTTGAAAAAAATTTGATTTTAATCTTAAAACTAACTTTAAACATTAATAAATACAATAATATTCATCCCTTTTTTTTAATCATCATCATTAATCTTATTACAATGTGACACGGACACACATGGCAAGGTAATATAATAAAACATTTTAAGACCATAAATGACATGATAATTTTAAATTGAAAAAAAGTATGAAGTAACAGTTAGCATATTATTATGTTATTATCAAAATAAATGCATATTTTAAAATAAATCTTAAGTTTATGTTTTAATTATTTTTTGAACAAAAATTATTAATTTTATGGTGCCTGTTCTGTTAATTGTCACTTTCCAAATATTGAATAGTTATTTATACAATCAATATTAGATAAGTATCATTTTAATTAATGTTTTAAGTCTAAAAACTTTACAATTATACTGAGTTTAACAATGCATTATTGTGCCATAATACTAGAATTGTAAATGTAGACTGCATGCCATGTAAAATGGATTAGACGAATAAAAACAATAAGGAATCTCATTCTACGAGAGCTAATTGTATTTACTTGTTTCTAGAGTAATGATAACCGTTTAATTAACTCTAAGGTCTTAACGGTTTATAAATGGAAATCTTGTCATCTAACTTTATTTTGGAACAGCATGTGAGTCAAAATTAGAGTGCCTTTATCTCTAGACACTCTAATTTAAATACTCAACAATGAACAAATGAACACTTCTTTGTAATTACTAGAACCGTGACTGAGTATTATGTTTCATACTTTGAAAATTATAAACTATGAACACCTAATAAATTCTGCATAGACATGTTTCTGTCATTATTTGTTGTATTTAGTAGTATCGAATACTCAATTAAAAAGAAACTAAGTAACTAATTTCACTTATGACAAATAAACAATTTGATAAACACCAAATTTCCATCCATCTCCTTTATGAATGGAATACTTAGGATATTTAAAGATTTCTAATACCTATACTTCTATAGGATGAGTACCTATTTTAAATTTACATTTATTACAAATAAATGTATTAAGATTATTCCACCCTATGATTTTCTGTCTTTATCCAACACACGGGCAACATAGGATCTTAGACGTTTTCTTTGCCAAACGTACCCATTGATCTAATGAAGCGATAAGAATTCTGAAAACAGATTTCAATTTTTTGTCAACTCTGCTTGAAATCGATTATTTCACATTTTTGATATTATTATCCCCAAATTTCCTAAAAATGTTATGTTAAAAAAGAGTAATTAAAACAAGGTGGGCAAGTGGTTGTAGCTCTGCAATACAGTAGGTTACAAGTGGGTTATTGTAATGGATTATTCACTGAATACCTAATCATTATTGGGTTAAATTATAGTTCAATGATAAAATATCATTGTATAAGAAAAACGATTCTGATCGAAGACGGTCAGC